ACTCCTGGATGGTCCTTGCTGTCTGCGTCGTCCATCGGACCATTTTTTATTTTTCTAATTCCTGACTTTGCAGTTATTTTATCTTTTTTCCTGACTAGGGTTTAATCTATTGAGGTATCCGATTCATCATCCGACTTGGGTTTCAGTGTCAAGTCCGCCTCTGCTTCTCGATTGTTTCCTTTTTCCTTAATACGGGTCAACCACCCTTGCGTCCTGAAGGTCCATTGCAAAAAAATAAAGTGTTGGAGCACATTTGTTGGATCTTCCCTTCCCACACCAAACACTCGCGCTCGCATTAATCTACTGATCTCATTGGATCTCGACTTCAACTACGGACAAACGCATCTACGTTACTCCGCCGTTGGGCATCGTCTTGGACTCATTTACAACTCCCCCTTCGATCGCGTATTCCCCGCAAAAACAAATCTGGCGTGCGCATGGTGCAAGATGCCTTTCTTCACTCGCGTCTTTCGAAGTAAAGACAACAATGCTGCAAAGAAAGCAGCCAAATCCCCGGAAGTAGAAGAGAAAGGGCCCGCAAAGCCCACATGGACCGACGCGTGGCAGCGATCCGAGGTCGCCCCCGAAGAGGTTCAGGAACTCTTGCGAGGGTGCACCCAAGAACTGAAGGCACGAGGTATGTGTTTCTATCTTTGAACCGATGTGATCCACCGCCCCCCGCTGGTGTACAAGTCAAGTCAAGCTTTGCGCATTCCTCAGTTTGCTGATCCTTGCCTCGTTCTCCTTTTGACAGCTCTTCAAACTCCCTTTTTACTTCTACCCTTCCGCCCAAGCACCGACGCCAGCGCTGCACGTACCTTCATCCGTAACTACTTCAATCAGTCCCTGGAAAGGGGCTCACCTCTGAGCGGGGATGCATTGGCACAAGAACTCCGGCTGTCGGACCCCATGGTGAGCCAATACATTCTATTTTGCTATCTGACGCTGAAGGGGTCATTTACTCATTCTTATTCTGTGTCTGTGTCGTATAGGTCCTGTGCAGTGTGCTGAAATGGTGTTGGAGTCGACTCCCTGGAGGAGTCGTTACCTGGGAAGCATATGAGCTATTTAAGGTTGGAGAGCAAGGTATGTCTCAAGCGGCATCTGGTTAGGAACGTGCGCGCTGATGAACCTTAGATTCCCAGTTTGCCCCCGACGCATTTACGACTTTCATTCCCATTAGTGTCGACTCCGACGCTCGGTCGAAGATCGTTTTCGACTTTTTCGATCTCCTCGCTGCCGTCGCAGCACACGGTAAATCTAATGGTCTTGGTGGACGGAAGCTCTCCCGGTATGCCGGATGGTGGGCATTCGATCATGCGGATACGGGCAACGGCTTCGAGGCTGCTTATAAGAATTGGGCACGGTATGTCATGGACCTGATTTAACCGATCAACTATCCGTACAGAGGATTGAAATAGCTGACGTCCTGCAGGGCCGCTGATGCGACAAGCCATCTGTTCTTCGCCTATCTGCGATCCTTGTCGCCCGAACTACGCGGAGTAAACGCCATTACAACGCTCCCTATCTCCCTCCAAACTCTTGTCCGGGCGACGGAATATCCGCCAGAGACGCCCACCCTACTTCAGGTCTCCACCACCAGAGTCGTGATGATCGTCGACACCGTCTCCCCTACTCCTTTCGCTCTGCTGCGGCGCGCAAAGAACTTCGAGTACAGAGACAGCGACCGCCATCTCCAGGAGTTCGCCAGCTTCGAAGAGCCCACCAAAGCACTGACCGATGAGTGTCTTCGTGTACTAAAATGCATCTCTTCCATCAATCAGTCAAGTGCACCAGAGCCGGGATCGGCGACTCGGGAAGCCTCGTGGTCGCGATTTGAGGACCTAGGATTTGGCGGTGCCCTCGAGTCTGACCTGGATGAGGATTCAAGCGCAGTTCGTCTAGCCAGGAACGAATTCGGAGGTGGCTTGAGGTCCGCTCCACAGTCCGGTGCAGGTGACTTCGGCCGGCCCACGACTCCATCATGGGCAGACTTCATGTCGTCCGGCTTTGGTGATGAGAACGGCCTGAAGGGCCCGATTGCTCCTTTGCTTCTTCCTCCTGACAAGGTTCTTCCCCCTATCGCAAGCGTCCGGGGTCAAAGCTCGCAGTCACACAAGCGCAGCCTAAATGACGAGCCGTCCATGGAACCGGGTGAGCTCGCAAGCATCACCACTCTCGATCTCGATGACTCTTTTTGGTGGGTGTGGATCAGTAGTTTGGCTGGTGAGGAGCCCGTGTCCCGAAAGGCCGTTTTTGGCCGGTGTGCATTGCTCGAGACCGTAATCAAAGACACAAAGTGGTTGGTACTGGAAGAGCAGGTGAAGGGTGCAGCACCAGAACCAGAACCGGGTGCATACATCGTGGAAAAGAAGCGCTTCTTTGGGTTCTCGACTCGTAGACGCGGTGTTGGGCGTCGCAAGTCCTCCGCTAAGAAAGTTAGTGCGGTGGAAGACTCGTACAAGCGGCCGGACAACGAAGCTCCTGAAAGCAAGACCAGCATTGCTCCTGATCAGCATGCCCGCATCCAAGCGGCAGCGGCAGCTCTTCAGAAGCGGCATCGGGAGGAACAAGAAGCTGCCAATGGCTCTAAGAACGTCTCAGAGGATGTCAGATACAACACCAAGACGAACTCTGTCATGACGTTGCAGCCGTCGATCGTGAACGAAGCGTCTCAGGCTATGAAGTGGGCGACCAATTACGATAAGAACACCTACAGAACTGCCTACTTGAGTGACAGCCGTGCAGGAACTGGTGCTCTAGCAGAAGATGCCAAGGTGCCGATCGAACAGCCCAGCACCCCGACCTCCCCGAAGGCAAGCCCCAGTGCTCGACAGGCACCGCCACCTTTGCCGAAGGATACACCGTCAAGCTCCCCGAAGCCCGCAGTTCCCAGAAAAGAGCCTGCTGCTCAAGAGGAGCCTCCGGCAAGCAGGGCTGACAGCCCGAGCCTTGCCTTGTCAACCACTGAATCGCTCCCGAAACAGTCCATGGATTCGGAGGAGTCTAGTCGGAAGATCAAGAAGAAGCCCGGCAACGCCGGTTTCAAGAGTATGTTCGGAACAGTCAAAAAGAAGAACGAGCCTGAACCGAAGCCGCCAATGAAACCTACTGGGTCCGCTGTTGCCGCCGCTCGCGCTGCCCTCGAGAACAAAGCAAGAGCCGCCCAGGAGCAGACGATGCGCCCTTTGACAAATGGCAAGCCTACACTGAAGAAGAAGCCTGTTCCAATTACAGTCCCTGTCGAGGCACCTAAGTCCGTCGAGAGTCCCAAGCCTGCCGAGCCTGCTGCGGAAGAGAAAGCCCCCGAGCCCACTGAACCCACTGAACCCACGGTTTCTATGGAAGCACTCAGACCCCCTGTTCCCCACAGCGATGAGCCTCAGATTCGCCGTCAAGCCGAATATGACGCTCTTTCGCGCATCGATACCAGAGAACGCGCAGCGGCCGATCAAGAATTCTCCAGGTTTGACCAGGGACCCCTGGTCGAGCAGCCTGCTTTTGTCCCTTGCGACTCTCCTGTTTCCGAACGTTTCCCTGAGAAGCCTGCATCGTTTCACTCTGCGACCGATCGGGTTTCTGTTGAGCCACAGGATAAGCGCAGTCCTTCCCCTCCGCCGATGAACACATCCTTTGACCGCTGGGCCCAGATCCGCCAGAACGCCGCGGTGAGGGCGGCTCAGGTCGAGTCGCATGCTGATGATAGCGACGATGACAACACCAGTGAAGAAGAGAGTAAGTAAATTAGTTCTGCTATAAAGATATATTATCATGGCTCTAACGTTGAAACCCATTAGGCTTCGAATCCCGTGCTGCCCGTATCAAGGCCAGAGTCGCTGAACTCACTGGCAACATGCAAGCTGCAAGCAAGCCTTGAAGCTCTAGCTCCAGTTTTCTCTGCTAATCACTCTACTTTCGCTACTGTCGTTTCTGACCATTTGAGTATACTGTCGCTATCACCCATATACCACTGTATTTGACCCCCGATGTTTATACGCCATTTAATGTATTTTCACCTACCCCTTCGCGTCCAGGTTCATCCTGCCTGCCATCTTGCTGACTGAGCCCGGACCCATGGCAACAAGGTCTGAAGATATTGCAAGCCGCGCATGACAGACATACGCCGTGATGCCGTTCTACGCATGATTGTCCACTTTTTATTCCCATTTCCGTTCCTCTTGTGCCTGCTGCCGGTTCCTGTTAAGCGGGGATATCGGTAATAGTAGCAAGTTGTCTTCTTAATCAAGTTTGTTTGTTACTGCTTCTTCTCTGCTTTCTTGTTGTTATATTCCCCTCCTTGTTGTGCCTGCTTGTGATTTATCCATACAATTACCGTTAGTTCGTTGGACTGTTGTTGTGTCTTCTGCAATATATCCAAGATACCTCGGCCGTTCTCTCGCTATGCTATGTATTCAGCTTCTTCATTGTGATAGTGAACCTGATTCTAGTGATCTGGTTTTTAATATTCAGTATATATATCCCTAGAGTAGCAGATAAGCGCTCAGAAGTATTGACTATCCTGGATTATCCATGGCATGATGAAGGGAAACTAGATCAAACCACTTGACAAAAGCGGAAATAAAAGAACAAAATCAGAGTAAGTTTATCCATTGAAAGTTAATTATCTATTACATGTGCATTTATCGTCCAACCCATTATTTTGATTTTCCCCCCTTATCCCACAGCACCATACATGCGGACCGGCATACGCATGTATATGCACTGTAACCCGGGGGTTCTCATCATACAAAAAAACAATAAACAAAAGCAAAGTAACCATGCATGCATGCATGTCAGGTCAGGTCACGCTAATCAAACAATGCAGTCAATGTATGGGAACTGGTATGTTGTACTTTTTCTTACCCAAAAGAGCAGTAGTAGATAATGCACACAGCAGACCAGTTTCCAACGTATTAACCCGCTTGGTTTGAGTATCAGGGTATCGAAAGTGTAGAATCGAATGAACAGAACAGTATAAATCATCATCAGAGTCGTGTAAATGAGACGATGATCCGCTTTAGAAGTGCTGAAGGAAAACAAGGAGATGAAGGTGCAAAATCTATCCCTCTAGTCATGCGAAAGGGAAGGAAACGACGGAAGAACAAAACGATCACTCTATATAGTGTATCGCATGCGTCGCGTTGCTTCAACAGCGACAATAGCACTCAATGCGCCGATGAATAAGCAGATGGAGATAGCGTTCGGGGTGCTCTTATCTAGATTCATCCATTGGGAGTCCTGGGCTGAGTCGTCGCGTTTCGTGCTGCCGGGCTCGAGAACACTGAAGACAATCCAGCTGATGAAGGTACCGAGAAACTGGGGGAGTGTTGTGTAGACATTTAGTACGCCTAGGTAGATACCGGCGAGTTCGCCGGTGGATGGGGTGTTGGAGACGCCGTCTTCGATGTCGCTGTCGCTGTCTGGGTCGTGGTGGTTGAGGCGGAGGACGTCCATTTCTGTGTCGTTGGTGCGGTCACTGTAGGTGGTGGGGCCGCCGGAGAGGAGGCTGGAGGAGGTGATCATTGTTACGCCGGAGGAGCGGGAAGATTGGGAGGGGTTCATGGCGAGTTTGTTGATTTCAATGCCCATGAATGTGAAAGGGGCCCAGCAGGTGACGGCCCAGGGGATGCCACACAGGGCGACGAGGAAGGTTGCGACGGCGCGGGAGCGGGCAAAAGGTGCGAAGATCATGGTCGCGGCGAACATGACGTGGGAAATTAACCAGGTTGTTTGGAGATCGGGGCGGATGCCCATTACTGTCTTAAGCAGTGAGGCGAGGCCTGGGGGTGGGCGCGGCGTGAACCTGGGTCGTTTGCTGTCTGGTGGTTGGACGCAGAATGGTAGAAGAACGGAGCCGATGAAGGTCATGGAGGAAAAGACGACTAGCGATAAACTGCCCACTCGACCGACTTCTCCAAGCATATCGGCTGGTTGTGTTGCGCCTTTAGGGACTTCGTATCGAAAGTATGTTTCTCCGACCCAGGTGGTGCTGTAGAAGAGAAAGGGGAACCAGCCTGCAATTTAGTCGGTTAGCAAATCCCTAATTTGAAAGTGGTAATCCGGAACAGTACCAATCCACGCCCAGAATTGCGCCCAGCAGATGGCTTGAATGCGCGGTGGCAGATCCATCGTGGTCTTGACGAGTTGAGAAATGACCTGCAGCGTCCCAGCCTTGTCATCGGAGTCTCTGTGGGTGTGTGTCAGTAGTTGGCATGGTGCATAGACCCCGTGTTTTCATATCACGTCTTACCTGGCAGTGACCAAAACCCGCTCCTTGACTGCGTAAGAGGTAACGAAGACAGCACCGATTAATGACATTGCTGCAATGACTGTCATTTGCTTGAACTGCGTGTCGCCGATTATGGCGCCAAAAATGCTGACAGTATCAATTGATCCAATGACATATCCAATGAGCTGGCCAATCGCGGTCATCCGAGTCGCTATACACTGTTAGCTTCCATACTTTGTAGTTAGAGGCAAAAGACGCATACCCCATGCTGATCCAGTCTGCTGCAAAGGAATAGGCAATGTGTCAACAATCAAGCTGCGACAACACGCCTGGACTGTGGTTGGGTTAGATAGAGATAAACAGATATCATGGCTGGTGCAGACTTACCAACGTTAATAGCGAAGTCCACAGCGTAAATACTCAGAACTGCTAGCGCGATGGTGACGTTTCTGGCCTGGGGTAAAAGACGATTTCAGTTAGCTCCTGAGTGCGAAGGATGCCAAGAAGGCCATTCACATGGTATCAAGTACCTTTTCCGCATCCTTAACAAACGTATTAACGATCTCAGTAGTCCAGCCAAGAACAAGCAGGCACGTTGCGACGACGAACGAGCCGACGATCATGAAAGGCCTGCGTCGCCCCCATTTGGATCGAGATCGGTCAGCAATGACACCAATGAGTGGCTGGATGATCAAGCCAGAAAGAGGGCCGGCGATCCAGACAAGCGAGGTCTTGGATTTGGTGAGGCCCAGTTGGAGCAGGTACGGGGTGCAATCTGCATCGCAAGTCAGAAACACTGAACAAGTGGTCAAGAGCCAGCAACGCGCATACAAGTCATTTCAATGCCCCAGGTGAACCTGTCGACAAGAAGCAAGTCAGTCTTTTATGCGCATTCGTAATGGTGATTGTCTTCCGACTGAGAGGGGCCGAAAAAAAAAACATTGTCGGGGGAATGAGAATGAGGGGAAGAATACATACTGTAAGCCCAACAAACTAAAGGTCAACAGCACCATGCGCACCCACTCCCTTCGTCCCTTGATAGAGGGTGTGCCCACCCATCTTGCAGCTTGTGGCATTCTTAGTGTTCGAATGCCCGCATGCACTTGGCCCTTTTCACAATTCTTGTATGCTTTCCATGAACCGCGGGGATTCGCCTCGAATTTGCGCCTGCGATCAGGCCAAAACACGTGCAAGTGTAGCTAATCGATCCTCGGATGGAGCAGATTCGATGCTGGAACGGTACGGAAGCTAAATTGTGAGATCCGGCGCAGAAGGACGAGGCAAATGCGTGATGGGTCGTAGGCAGTCGTCGCACGGTTCGTTGGGGATAAAAATAGCTGCGAGGATGGAACAGGGTCCGCGATCCGCCAAAGGTCCGATGTCGTTGGGAATAAGGGCGATACTGGAGTTAATATAGGTTTTCGCGACCAGGGAGAGCGACAAATAACGTTCGAAGCGAAGCAGAAGGGAATCACGACCGGTCAGAAGAAGGGATGGGAAGAAAAGAGGAGGGATGGGCAGACAGACGACAGGCGAGGCCGGGCTGAGCCCACCAAAAGCGTACGCATGCGGGCCCCCGGCCCGTCAGGTACCTCGTCTTATCGGCACCGGCCACGCTGAGACCCACCACCGCGACGGTACTTGTGTTTATTAATAGCGGGTGGTGTGAACAACCTAAAGCAAGGTCGGGGGATTAAAACAAATCTGAAACTGGGGAAGTCTATGGGTGTTACTGTCCTTTCTAACCTTTCTAACCTAATTCTACGAGGCACACAAGGGACTGAGGCACCAGGCAAGGGTCAATAATACTGGGAGGTACCGTCTTGCTACTGTCACGCGACTACTTCCAGCTTCCGGTGAAGACAGCGGCGGTCCCAACCGACCGGGGGTGGTTCGTTACGTTCTCTGCATTCGTTTCTAAAAAGGGGTTGCGAATAGATAACTCCAGTCATTGCCCAGCCGACCGATAAATAGTCCCGAGTGCTTCATTTCTGTCATATCATCCCAGATGCCCCGTCATACCATGATTTTCGACCGAAAATCAATCGCATTAACATCTTTTTTTTAGCCTTTTTTGGCACTTTCTTTTGTTTTTTTTTTCTTTCATCTTCATCCATCGTAACACGCCGACCGCCCTTATCTACAGGCGGTTGGGGGTGGAAGTCAAGGGCCACTGGTAGCCAGCAGCATCGCTGAACTTGTAGCCGAAGGACGCGGTGAAGTCATCAAGGACAGCGGGTCCGCGGGAGCCTGCGCACGCCGTTCGTCAGCATGTAAGCGGTTTTATGAGATTTCAAGATGTGCACGAACCGTAGGGGTATTCCATGGGGATGATCTCCTTGTTGTCATCCAGGTAGTGCAAGAGAGGGGTGAAGATCCTCCAGCTGGCATCCAGCTCATCGTCACGGACGAAGTTGGAGTGGTCGCCCTTCAGAGCATCCAGGATCAGAGACTCGTAGGCCTCGGGGATCTTGAGGTCGGAGAAGCGGCGGCGGTAGGTGAGGTCGAGCTCAGTCACAACCGTCTGCATAGACAGGCCAGGCAGCTTGGAGTTCATCTTGATGTACACGGACTCGTTAGGCTGGACGCGGATAACGAGTTCGTTACGGGGGATGTCCTTGAAGATTCCGGAGGTAACATCACGGAACTGGATGCGGATCTCGGTCTTCTGCTCGTTCAAGGCTGCGAATAGTTAGTATACCCGCCGTTGCTAAGATCGCTTGGAAAGAGGTACATACCCTTGCCAGCCTTCATGATGAAGGGAACACCGTCCCACCTCTCGTTCTTGATGTAGGCGACCATAGCGCAGAATGTGGGGCAGCGGGAATCCTGGGGAACGGTCTCATCCTCCTTGTAGGCGGGCTTGCTGCCATCAAGAGACTTTCCGTACTGGCCAATGATGACGTTCTTGGGCTCAATGGCGTCCATCGCACGCAGGACACGAACCTGGTTAAGTATTAGTAACCTCGCTCAACTGATAGCCAATCGCACACTGTACCTTCTCGTCACGGATGTCCTCGGCAGAGAAGGAAATGGGGCGCTCCATAGCGAGCAGCGTCAACACCTGGAGAAGGTCTAAAGAAGATTTGAATCAGTATCTTGTCGAGAATGTCTATGGAGGACTGGAACGTACGGTTCTGCATGACATCACGGATGATGCCAAACTCATCGAAGTAACCACCACGTCCCTCAGTACCGAAGGGCTCCTTGAATGTGATCTAATCATAAAGGCGACAATTTAGCCATTATTCAGCAAGTCAATTGGATAGCGCAAGGTCGTACCTGAACGTTATCGATGTGGTGGCGGTTCCAGGTGGCGTTGAAGAATTCGTTTCCGAAGCGCATGATAAGGATGTTCTTGACCATCTCCTTACCCAGGTAGTGGTCGATACGGAAGATCTCCTCTTCCTTCCAGTTAGGCTCCAGAGCCTTTTGGAGATCGCGCGAGCTCTGAAGGTCCTTGCCGAAAGGCTTCTCTACCTGTGAAATAGGAAAACAAGCGAGTAAGAACAATGGCCAATTGCAGAGTGATATCAGCCCAGGATCGACTTACGATGATACGAGCAACGCCGTTCTTGGGGTAGCAGTTGCGCTTGAGTTGGTCGGAAACGGTGGTGAAAACGCTAGGGGGGAGGGCCATGTAGTAGATTCTGTTCTGCTCCTTCTGGCCCTTCTCAATCTCCTCGAGGTGCTTGTTGAGGTTGATGAACGAGTCATCCTTGTCGTATTGACCGGAAATGTAGGTGCAGAGCTGGCAGAAGCTGTCCAGTTGCTCTTCGATTTCCTTGGTGGGTGTCTTGATGTATGAGCGCACACGCCTCAGGTACTCCTCATGGTCCATGTTTGTCCGGGCATATCCGACGATCTTGATACCCTTGGGGAGGAACTTGTTGCGATACTGGAAGCGCAATCAGTAACCATACTGGTGTGAGTCAAACTGCAATTGGATCTGTAAGTGGACATACAAGGCCGAAAAGTGCCGGGAACTGTAAGAAGTTAGCTTCCTATGCGGTCGACATGAATCAGGGGGTCATCACTGACGGTCTTCTTCTTTGCAAGATCTCCGGAGGCACCCAGTACTATGATGACAGTGTCATCTTTGAGTTCCATGGTGCTACGTAAAACATTCATGTTAGCTAGACTATAGCTTGACGATTATAGTGCCACAGGGAATCGTGTGTAGATCGATAATGCAGGTCGGTGCCCGCAGTTCGCTACAGCCGGGAGGGGCAGTGAGGTTGGTGGTGAGTCAGAAGGAAATTCCTATCGTCAAGACCAAAGGAGTAATCCTGGTGACGAATTGAAGAACAACGGAAAGCGGGAAGCCTGCCAGTGAATGTTGGGCGACCGGCTTGTTATGGAGAGAAGTAGGTGGTGTAGGTGGTGAATCCTCACGTCTGGGCGGCGGGCAGGAGGGACGGGAGTGGGAGGGAGGAGGGGTGTGATGTCAGAGAGGGAGACCGCAAAACTCACCCAGCATTCTGGCGTTCCTCAGTACGTGCTATTGTGCTGGCCATATTTTATTGATGTGTGAACAACCACGAGATGGGAAGGGAATGTGAGAGATCGGTGGAAGAAGGAGGAGAGGAAATAAAGAGGATACAGGGAGACAGCAAGGACAGAGAGGTTTGTTGGAAAAATCCCAACAGTTCCGGCGGAGCAAGTACTTTTTAAGACCGGAGGAGGGCCTCTCGTCGAGGAGAGAGGAGCTGCTCTGCTGCAGGGTGGGCAAAAGTGAGTGAGCCCGGGTGGGGCAGCTTTGTTACTACTTTGTTACTGGGAAGCCCGGCTTGGGTTCTTCCACTACGTCGATTACTGCCGCGGGACCCCGTGAGTTAGTGGTGAGTAGGTAAGTTGTTATCCAATTCTATTATTCGGGGTTATTTTACATCACTCAGACACTACTTACTCGCCTGCCACGGAGTAGTAGATAATTAACTCCTTCAGTATTTCCTTGGTATGATTACTCCGGGAAATGCTTCCTTTTTTATCCCTAGCATCCATTCTTCCCCTAATTGTCAGGTTCTCCGTTCCCACTCATACTGCTCTCTCTCTCTCTCTTTTCTCTCCCCCGAAGCCGTTGTGGCAATCCGTCTCTTATATCATCGCTAGGTAACGCGATGGTACTATCTACCACTTGCATATCTCGATATCTTTAAATCAATACTTACGATGAAGCATCCCCCACTCGACTTACTCTATCTGTCCCTCAGAAACATCATCGTTTAGACTAACAGCCCCTTCTCTTTTAGACGGACTGATTTATCCGAGCCAGGTCCGCTGTAAATCTCCTCCCAGCTCCACTGAGAACCACACATGGAACGGATGATGCCCATCTTAAGGTACACCTTACTGTTGCATGCGGAACCACCCCCCGCGTCAGCTTATCCCAGTAATATTAACCCTCCGACCCTGATCTGACATTTTCATTCTTCTTGAATTGTAGACAAAGGGAAAGCCGCAAATGTAAAGGTGCCGAGTTTCTTGCGGTCTGACGCTGTACTACATTAGTATATGCGCGGGGCACGCGCACCTCAAATTTACTGGCAAATTGTGGAGCAGCCCCCAGCCCATTCATGCAGGTAGGTCAGTCAGCTCAGGACCTGGCTTCTTTGTGATAACGATAGTTCCATGCATTCCGGTCATAGCACCCATCTATTAGAATTTAGATCACCTTTCCAAGGTTTGCTCCGTAAGTAATGCAGCGTCAATCAACTTAACACTAATCCACTTTCAACTACAATAGGTGAAGCAAGAGAACCGTTGCGCAGATTTCCAGGGTGTGACCCAGACAAGATCTCAAAATAATGGAAGCGATTTCGGACTATTCCACAGGATGAATAGCAGCGATCGCGCCAGAACAATCACACCAGTCTAGTGGAAAGACTCCTGAATCCGCGTCTCCGGTGACCAGCTTCGTGGGGTTGGATCGGCCAATTTGTCATCTGGAAGGACGATACGGATTCTATTTTCCCGTGAAGTAAGCGCAGCGACCATGTATCAAACCGAACTTTCGGCCCAGTCGACTCCGGAGTTAACGGGTGCGATCCCGAAACGGGGGGGGGGCTGGAGTATCTACGGAGTATTGTTCTCAGCATGCACTGCCTATTGTTGCTTATTCCCACGACACCAGAACCCTCGTATCGATGGCACATTACTGTCGTAACCATTTCCCTTACAACCACACCCATCAATATTTTACCCCTCTTTCTTTCTTGAAAAGAAAAAAGAGGCATTGATGGTATTGCGTGCTCTATGGGGGTCCCCCCCTCAGGAGAGAAACATCATGTCAGGTTCGTTGCCGACTTCCTGGTGGGGCTGGAGGGGACGCTTGATTTCCAAATATGTATCCCGGTCTGATCGCTTCTGGAGGAGTCATCCTCCCCCGTTATATACATCCAGTCTTACACCCGTACGACTCTGTCGCACTACCCTGTAAGAGGTAGTTTAAGCGCCATGCTGTCATGCAGCTACTTCACGCATACTCGAAAGTCACAAGATAAACTCCTTGTCCATTAAACGGGGAGCTCCTGCAACAGGCCGCCACCCCGGCGATAGGAGGCCAATCCCTTATCAAGATCAAGGGTGATGGGGCAGTTGCCGTCATGGGTGGAAAAGAATCCGCAAGCTGTTTTGTCAGCTTGGGGCGCTCTAGCCAAAAGCTCTCTCCGCTGCTGCAGAGGGGACCGGCGGGTTGCCAGGAGTCTTCGGACTACAGTAGCCCGGACGGCAAAATTGGCCAGGTGGGGTGGGTTGGGATGGAGGAGCCCCAAAGGTCTGCAATCGATGATGATCTATCTCGGATGCATGGAGAAGCTATTTATCCGATGAAGATCCCAAGACGGTTTAGTGTCCCGTAGGCGGTCTGCAACTCTTCCCCATCACGGGACTTCGGCTTGCCCTGGGGTGGTCCTGCTCGCTAAGCGTCCCGTTTGGGGTTAGGGCGAGCCGCACCGAACACACCTCGCAATTTGTGAGCCTTGTGCGTTGTCCCGTTACCCTATCGAAGCGACGACAACCACGACAACCCGGACGACTTTTGCGGGTCATACCTCCCTTCCTTCGACTTTTTGCGTTGCCCGCTGCTGCTCAGAGAAACGCCGTCAGAATGCCTTCGGAACAAGGTCACAGACGTGAGTGCCATCATTTTCCGGATATCAGATATGTGTGCGCGATGGTTGGAATATGGGGATGGAGAAGGATAGATGGGGATATGCGGGCGCATATTGGGCGAAATGCTGAATGAAATGCTAACTGAATATTCTTTGCGAATTATAGTCTATGTCAAGTAAGTTCACCACAAACCGTCCGCCGTCGAATTCGCGCACATTCCGGATATGAATATCAAAAATATCAAGATCCATGTCGGAACATCAGAGATACGGGCCAAGCGATGGAATGCAACGAGAACAGACCGGTTAATACGAATTCTTTCTACAGGGGTCGCCACGTGAGCTACCAGCGCTCCAAGCGTACCGTCAACCCCAACACCAGGTACTTGCGATCCGCACCGATATCGATATAGAGGAACAAGGGAATCTGACACATGGGTTATCTAGTCTGATCAAGATCGACGGTGTTGAGAGCACTGAGGCCGCAAAGTGAGTAGCGAATGGGTCCGGGATCGAAATATCAGAACACACAGCTAAGACGGGATTTTTTTTACAGCTTCTACCTGGGCAAGAAGGTTGCTTTCGTCTACCGGGCCAAGCGTGAGGTCCGGGGCTCCAACATCCGGGTCATCTGGGGCAAGGTTACCCGTCCCCACGGTATGTGATGCACAGCTCCATTGCGCCGACGATTACCACGGCAATATATATATCTATATGTTATCGGTGATTGCTGGAACGGAGAAGGTTCGGAAAACTAACAACACTTCCCTCATGAACAGGTAACTCCGGTGTTGTCCGTGCTCAGTTCCGCCACAACCTCCCCCCCAAGACCTTCGGTGCTACCGTCCGTGTTATGCTGTACCCCTCCAACATCTAAATGACGCCCCTTTTGTTACGTTAGTTGGAAACTCCGGATTCTACGCGCAGACGGTCGGGCAAGGAGTCGACGGAATGAGCCGAATGTTGAGATGGAGTTGGCGGGTTGATAATGTTCGTGGGAGAGGCAGGGCCGGTCAGCCCTACGAATTAAAATAAAAGAACTCTTATCTTCTTTTTTTTCAGCATGGTTATTGTCAGCCCTTTTTTCCCCTAAAGGCAACGGACGAGCTTGATATCCCTGGTTTTTTTATATCCTATATTCAAACCGGCCAAGCATGCTGTGCCTTTTGGGCCGACAACATGGCTCCCCGTGTATCTGATGCTCATAAACCACAATCCATACCATTTCAACATATCGGTACAATTGCTTTTCTCTGGGGAATAGTGTGAGCGATGTGAATGGTAGTCCGGTGGCCAATTCTTATGGAGTTGTGTCTTCAAGTCGACAAGCGATATCAAACCCAAAGCGACAACTGCGACAGCAAACCCTGGCTATCCCCAATTATCGGCATATTGATTTGATTTCGAAATCTTCCCCGCCATATTAATTCATCTAGCGCTAGCTCTGCACCGTTGGACATCTGCTCGTCAAATAGCCAACTGCCAACAACCGTACGTAATAAGCATCAGATCTCCGGAGCATGAATACCCACACCTGTCATCGTAGACCCCACCCGTGATCGATAGTGATGACCGATACGGAGTGCTATGCGTCAATCTATATTGTTTCTTCAATGTGGCAATGCATGCTTTTCACTTCTTCCCATGGTACTATCAATTTTAAGCTAGCTGTCACATGGAGTTCTGTGCATATACTAAGTCCAGATATGTAAGGTACTCTCCAAACTACATAGTAACATCACTTGTAATCGAACGGAGACATTAAACCGCAGTCAGCTACGCCATAGCCAGAGCGAGCTCTCGTATTGTCATCAACTTTATCAAACATTGCATTTTTCTCATCGTTGATCGATAGTATATGTAGACATTATCTATGCTGCTACTGGTAGTAGGCATTATGTATATGGAGCGCTAGCTTCAATTGGGAAAATGTATTATTATATCACATAGAGAGATATAAGACAAATTTTCAAATCACACTCATCAGGCATACTAAGAATATAGCCATGAATACACCGGTTTGTCCTCTGAGAATGAATAGATATATCAATGAGTATCTGCTGGTAGCCAACTGTCAATGTTTTTGAATGTCGGGCTGCTTTCGCCAATAGTCTTCAGTAGTAGCTGGGGCTGCTGTTGATAAACTGAAATCTGACTGTTCGGTTTCTCAGTCCTAGCTATTTTACGTTTGATATTTTTATAAGCCTTAATGCACTATGGATGGTATCGATGGGAGGGGTGGGTTGGGGTTTAGTGCCACTAAAGTGCGAGTACTAGTCCTAGTGGTTATATATATTCTGAATGGAAAGCTGGGCGGTATGGGTTTGGAACCGGATGTGCTAGTAGGGATTCATGCTAACATGCAATGAACTGCGAGGGCATAGTCTTAGAGCAATATATACTAATATAATAGTAGCTTAAGAATGCTAGTGTAGAGTTGGAACTGCTATAAGGGGAACGATCCGTGGACATGTTTTTTGGGGGGGATGATATCTTGCGTAGGACAGCTGCAGGTCTCTAGGTGAACTAAAATACTATTTCCCACGTGTTACAGAATCAGATATAAATAGGAGCATTTGATGCTAAATTCAAAGTTGAGTAGGACTATGGCAGCCCCTGTGACCGCTACTGATGATTGTGGTAAGTGGTTAAAGGGTAGGTCAAGTTTCATATGCTGATGACGAGGGGACATTATGATCTGTATAAATTCCGCATTCATGAATCAAAACCGCATATGGCTTGGCTGAGCTTGAAAGAGTCTAGCCTGGAACTGCGCTCAAACTGGGAAATGTCACAGAATGCATTGTGTGCAGTCAAAAGTAATGGTGAAACAGCGGTCTCATATTGATTGATCAGATAACGCTAATGCTGGCTGGGATGACTGGCATCCATGCAAAGACATGAACGATCTCTAGCAAAGATGTCCATTGTACTTTGATTATTAGCATGTCAGTATGCCGATAGCATTCTCAGGACCCAGCTTGTAGTCGTAATTGGTCTGATCAAACCATTGAAGTTATTTTGACTCGTTCTGGAATGCACCCACCCCACGATATATATCCGGGTCACAGTTGGGTTCTGTCAAATTAGGGGTATTTCAACAACTAATGAAGGACGTCACAGTATGCCTCTGGGCCCTTGAATATGATATCAGAAGCTTAGCACTTAACTGCACGAGCTATCTCCGCAGCGCGGTCAATAAGGCTGAATGAGGGAAGTTCTGGAAGGGTAAACTCCTTGCATGGAGATTCTGTCACGATCCCGAATTAACAATAATTAAAGTAGGCGCCATCCCCGCCCCCAATGACCCACTTACAAGAACTGATAGGGATCGACAGATCGCCTCGGCCGGAATGATAGAATACTTACACAGTATGGAGTAGATTGTAGGTTACTAAGAGGTTGGCTTACAGGTTGCTTGCAATTGCGCGAGTTCGAGCCAAGATCCTCCTTCGCGTATTGTTCCTTGCTGGAGGTACCTTGCTTGATCGCAACGTGTGCGACTCTAAGTCGATTAAATAATTCCAGAAACATTCAAGCGCGTATGCATTGATCTTCTTAATTTCGGGGATGCATGGGCTATTTTTAATTCCTGTAAGTCTGCAGGCCTAAGTATGAGCCTGCCAAGTGTGCAGAGCCAAGAGCGACTGCCAACCTGAAAAGGGCGGTTAGTTGTCTCAGTGTGGGAGGCAGTCTGGCGGACTGGATGGATGGGATTGGACTGGAACGACCGCCATAGTCAGACATGTAACGCCGCCGCTCAGTAGAGGGATGGGGCAATTGAGACAGGCAGACATATTCCAGGTTTCATTCTGCGGTGCTGGTGGGCCAATTGGAAGGCCACGGATAGCAGAAGGTGCGCTTCCCTGGTGCAACTAGAGAGAATTTGGATAAAGATTTTAAGAGTACGTAGTGATATGCCACCGTCTCCGTGGGTGAGATTCAAAGTCGTATTCTCGTATCCGGCCGTACCGGCCAGTCTTACCACCAACTAAACCATTTTGGTGTATTCCGAGTAAAAATAGGAAATCAACGGCCGAGATAATCCACCCGGAAGTGAAAAGACAGGTCAAGATAGCGTAAAAAGTATCAGAACTGCGGAGTGGCTTGCCTGGGCTGCCTGGCCCATTTTTTGGGCTTGGATGATGTCGACGGCAGCCGATCTGTGCGATGGGCTGAAGTTTGCTTGATTTCTTCCGATTGTGCAAGCAGGACGATCAGACGGGAAGAGATGGCTGGTGACATGGGATTTGCGACAGCGCATCCTAGTCGACAAGTCATCGCAGTCATCACACACACAACAAATTCCAAGCTTTCTTTAGTACCAAAATCATTAGCTTACTTTTTTTTTTTTTTTTTCCTATTTTCTGTTCTTCAGTTACTATGTTTCCTTTTCCTTTCGGGTATGGTGCCTGAGACGGTGACAGATGGTCCATGGAATGGAAGCCAACCAGAAAGAGTTCGCTGGGTGGCTGGGCCATCCCACAACGAGTGATTGGCCGGCAGGCAATGAGAAGAGGGGAAAGCTGCGTAACACTATCGGTATTTTTATGCATTTGGTTCTTTTTATTCCTTTTTGTGTTCACCAGCCAAGATACGGTAACGAGGGTAATTCTATTTCCAGTCGAACTGGTACTAGATTTACTTTTCCCGCTGCCTTGAACTTGGTGGGGAAATGCTGGGTATGACAGATGGAGAAGTGAAGATGAAGATGTCTTATCGAATTCAATTTCAATGCAATGCGTTTTTGTCATTTGATTCTTGAGAATGAATTGACTTCCAGGGGAGAACCGGGAGGATGAAAAGTTTTGAAAGAGAAAAAAGAGGAAAGTTCCATGGGAAGAGGATCTCCGGACAATGAACGGGCAAACATCAGGGAAAGTTTCCAGGCATCCGGTGATCGTCTAGATTCTTCTGGCCGAGTGGCTCTTGACTATAACGCCATCGTCCAACCCGAGCTGATAGGACGACTTGCAATCGCCCATCCATCGGTTCGAACAAGCGTCCCCCTCTTCATTGCGTGGCGCCTGTCGTCAATACCACCGGGCCCGTACAAGTCAAAAGGCCTCAATGGCCCTCCCCGATTCTCTCTAGTAGTAGTTCAGTACTTGTTGGTTGCCGACTGCCACCTGCTTTACTTTTTCACACGCTCGTTTGTACTTTCTCCTCTTCCATCTGCACATCTGCACGGTCGACTGGAGTGGTGCTTTCTTGCTTGCCTGCTTGCTCGCTCGCTTCCTACTACTTTCCAATCTCCATCTTCATCTTTCCTACATAGTACCTACATTCTTCCCTACTAACCTACTGTCTTGGCATCTCTAGCTTGAGGCTATCGCATCTTCCTTACTGTCGATCACTTTGAGCGCACTGCGGATGGACCACCTTCTTGCAGTCACTATCGCTTAACCTACGGACGCTCTGGTCGGACAATTTGATCGGACGATACACTACTACATACAGCCGTGCTTCAAGCCTGCCACACTTCCCCACCTTCGGTGTCACTTTGATTATTCTTTTAAAACGGCGTGGATCGTTGTGTGTAGAGACAAATTGCGGAGTTGATACTACTTCCAACTTTTGGCGACATTTTCACACTTTTCGGTTGCTTTAGACTTTCCCCAGAATCTTGGGACAGACATCAGACATCCGAGTGAATATCCGCTCGTGGATCCATCAAAAAAGCAGCCCCCCACGTTGCCTGCGCTGCTTAGTTTCGTTGGCTGCCTCCTGGCTGCGTTCTGAAACCACGCTCCAAAAAGCCCGAGAATCATCGCGCGCGATCATCATACATTCCTTGGCGGTTCCCACACCGGATCGTGCTTGCGCTCCACAACGGGCGCCATAGCTTAGACAGCGTCCTGCGAAAACCTGCTCCAGCTGTTGGTTATCAGGCGCTAAGGTCGACGGGGTGATAAATAAAATGGCGACCTCCCAGCCGGCCGTGCCTCCTGGCAGGCAATCTCGTGGCTTCAGTTTCGGTGCAAAGTCGGATCGGTCGCAACGGTCCAGCAATTCCAGCAAAAGGCCCCAGATATCGGAATCCTCAGACGAGAAACATCGCCGCCAACTACATTCCAAAGCCGATCCCATGGTTGCTATGAGCGAAGCGCAACCTAGTACGTATCCGGAACCCTCCCCCCTTATCTCTCTGCCTGTTGCACTCCTGGATTTCGGCCTGCCATAACAAACCAGCCCAATTCTTCCATTCTCATTATGCTGCCTCCAGTTTGCAACATTTACTTTCTACAAGCATACAAACTGACTCGTTTCCCCAGATTTGGTTGCTCTCGAGCAGTCGACGCTGGGTTCGTTACGGACCATGCAGCATAAAGATCAGTATGGAAATATTATCAGTTCGTATACCATACTTCCCTGTTTGGACAAATATCCTGGGTGACATCTCGCTGATTGCTCTCCTCTTCTCTCACAGCTGATCCCGATCTCTCTAACCCCACGCGCCCGCGCTTTGAACGTCCGCTTGAGACCATCCGATCTTTTGAGGCGGCAATTTATGGGACATACAGCAGTAGACCTGCTTCGTATGTAAGGACAGGTGAGTCACCCCTTACTCCGGTTTGCTCGACCCGGCGGTTGATTAACGACGCATTACAGAATCGACTCCTGCAACTCCGGGGCCAGACCATAGTCGGCGGGGAAGCTACTTTGGAGGTATTTCTCAATCCCACAAGTATTGCGTCTTGGGATACAGTCGCAATGTCTATCGTAACATTCGAGAGAGAACGTCTCGCTAATTGAAGGATTGGTATAGCTCAAAACGGCCATTCGCACCGGGGTCACTACGACCAGGGCGGCCATCACAATGGTCGCGGGGCCTATTCGCGACCGGACAGCTATGTCGAGAATGGTAACGGCCAGTCCGACAACTATTACCCCTACAATCAGGGCGGCGGCCGACCGCGACCACGCCACCATGCACGGATGAACACCGACCAAAGTGGATATTCACAACACGGCTATCACAAATCATATGACAACATGACCGCAGCGTCTGGCTCGGGCTCTGGCAGCAACACCGACGCTTACGGCAACTCCACCGACCCCAGCTCTGTGAATAGCTCTATCGATCAGTTCCAACAGCAGCAACAACAGCAGCAGCAGATGGCCGAAAACTATGGGTTTCAAGGATTTGGTGCCGGGCCGAATCTGAACGGACAAGCTGGCGCTGGGGGACGGATCAACTTTGGCAGCAAACCACCAGCGGCTGACCCTAACGCCGGTGGCCCTGTCGGCGGCGGTGCCGCCGTCGCTGCCACAGCCAACCGGCGCCATCTCCGCAAGGCTACGAATGACTCTGAAATGAGCAACGACTCGAAGAAAAAGGGCTGGTTCAAGCGTCGTTTCAGCAAGAACTAGTCGTCTGTGAGCCGGCTCCTCACATTTTCTTACCTTACTCTTACTATTCGATGCGTGTTTTCTGATCCGAATTTGTCTGGGTGTACTACCTCCGCGGCGTTCAAGAGTCATGTTCAAGCACAGCAACTGGGATTTCGGGACGGACTGTGTCAAATTTGGATTCGATTGCAACTTTATTATACTCTTTCATCTTTGCATGCGCATGACGAGACCATGATACATGGATGCCTTTTTTCCCTTGTTCCTCCTTACCTTTTATTTCTCTGCCATGACAGTGCATGAGATACTAGCCAGTATGATGTTGATTGATACGGGTGAAGTTGTGAGTAATGGTAGGGTAGTGTGACTGGATCAGGGTGATGAATACCTTCCTACTTGCTGTCCGATATTGAATAGATACTCAGTAATGGCCCATGTATATCAAATCGTACTAGTCAGTCAGTACACCTTCCAGTAAAATGGAAAAGCCAGCCCCATTGAGACAAAAGGAAAGAAAAGAAAAAAAGACCCACATCATAGAAGAACCAAACCAAAGAAAGATGTATTACTTCTAGCAATCAGCAGCATGAAACAAAACAAGCAACAGGGAATCTCAAATCAAGCGCAACAACAATAACAATAGAACACCCTTCCCCACCCCATCACCCTCATCTCCTCCCATCTCATCAACAACCAACCAACCATCTACCAAGAGTGGCAGAAGAAAAAGATGATCTACTTCCTCCCAAACAACTTATGCTTCAACTTATCAGCCAACCCCTCATGTGCAGGCCCCTTATGCTTCTTCTCCTCCTTTTCCTTCCTATGTTCTTCGTCGAGGTGCACGTTACCTTGGCCGCCGCGCTATCGCACCACCATCACCACTCATTAGCATTCATTCCCTGCATAAAATCGATAGAGTAATAATGAAAGGGATATAAACATACCCCAGTATGATAATCCCCATCAACAGACTGCCGAATCGCCAACTCGGGAACTATCTCCGCGTCGTGTGGGATCTTGGATGTCGGGCGCACGTGCGGGGAGCCGATGTTGCCGGCGCCGCCTCTCTTTACATCCATATCATAATGTTAGTTACTTAGTATATTGGTTGTTTGGTTGTGAGACAGGTAGGATGGATTGATGTATGGGTGGGGATAGCTTACGCCGGCTGAGTAGGCGCCGTCGCCTTGGTCACCGTAGACTCCTTCGCGGACTATGCCGCCGTCGACGTATCTTCATATCATGTATATTAGTATTGGGGTTTTGTGGCGGTGGGGTGTTTTGGGGATTAAGTGAATGGGTGTAGTGCGTACTCGGTGGAGTCGGCGCCAATGTTTCCTTGGCCTGTTTTGTTTGGGGAGTGAATGTTAGAGATTTGTTGTTTGCATTGGATTTATTGTAGTGTACATACCTCCCCGGCCGTGCGACACAATAGGTTCGTGTTCGCCCATGATGCAGTAGTTAGGGTGAGTAGTAGTAGATTTTCTTCAAGTGGTGTTGTCTATTGAATTGATGTAGTGATTCAATGCGATGATAAGAACGCTGTAACCAAGAGTCTGCGACGAACGTGTGTGAGTGTGTACCAAGTCTAGTCAGATAGTAAAGTGGGAAAAGAGAAAGAGCGCAAAGTGGCGATTCCCGGGGATGGGTTCGTATAGATATATTATGTACCACAGGGGTTAGTAGGGTGTAGCGTGACTACCTTAGCGCTGCTTCTTTTGGGCGCAATCACTGCCACAGCGCGCCAAGCCAGAGGGTGCGCCCTGGCAGTCAAAGTTAAATTTGCCGGAAGTTCTAGTCTAGTAGCTAATTCAGTGAATTATCATTATCGGGATAAATCTAGATGATATGATTGTTATCGAAGGAACCAAAAGAAGGGAACGAGCGGGACGGCGTCCGATGACGTCGTCGCGCTGATAAGATGCTTGTCCGGATTGGTCCGAGGCGTGACTAACGATTTTGGGGCCCGCCAATTGTTACTAAGAAATGAGTAGCTTCATGTTATCTCTACCAGTTAAGGGTTATCAGTTCAGCTGCTTTTATCACCGGCCTCGGCTCAGGGTTCAATTGAATGTGGTTCATGAAAAGACAAAAGTGGTTCACCATTGCACAAAGATAACTAGTAAGTAAATTACCCACTCAATTAAATTGGAAGAAAGCTGCACGAAATCAGGTACGGTACAACCCCACACCCCGCCTCGATACTACGGCCACTGTAATCTACATTCTACAGAGTATCCGACCCCTTTTTGTTGGACAAGGATCTAAGTTCTCGGCGGGACAGTGATTTCCATATTACTTCTTCTCTGCAGGAGGGCCGCCGCCAGTCGTGGGAAGACCCATGAAGATCTTGAACGAATCGTAACTGTAAAACGTCAGCCGCTGTCTATCGAGAGGGGCATACTGGAGATCTGAAGTAACACATACATCATCCACTGCAGTCCGGTCTAGAGGAGATAACAAGTCAGTCATGATCTGAGAAACAGATACCGATGCACTTACCAAGGTGCCGATCATGACGATACGGACGGGAAGACCGTTCCAGAGACCTCCAAAGCCAATGTCCTTGTAGATCCGGCTCATCGCTGCTCCAAATGCCTCTCCGGCCTGACGGTTCGCATTCAACTTACTGACCATGACATCTGCTGGGTGCGACACGACGGCGCAAAGGATACCAGCCAGGTAACCACCGGTGAAGGCAACGGCGGTCTGCGCACCCTTGTTGTAGTCAGACTTTTGACCCGGCAGGGAGTTATAGATCATCTCGACAATCGTTTCGAAAGACGCAAACTTCATCATGGTGTAAGGGATCTGTCGACCCCAGAGAGGGTAGAGACCCTTGTACAGGCTGCGGCAGTCAGCTACTAGGGATCGACTGCTCGCATTAGCAGCACTTACCCGGCCACACCTTCCTTATTAACCACGCTAGAGATACCAGTAAATGTTGATCGAATATCAGGTGGGATAGTCGTCTGCATGCGCACCTTGACGGCCTCGAACGGACACAGGGCGACATCAGCGATAAGCTCCGCCGACGCACTGGCGGTCAAATACAGAGAAGTCTTCCACCGTGCTGCGTTCTCAGCCCCGACAAGGTCGCTGTAAAACTTCTTGAAGAATTCATAACCACCATATTTGAACGCTCCTTGGGCCTTGTACTCAATTAGAGGGCGCAACGCATGCGATCCAATCTTGACTTACACTGTATCCAAAGAAAGTGGGACCCCAACCGGTGAAAACTCCGCGGAGACCCTCTGCACCGCGAATTGTACGGAATGCCTCTGCATTACTCTTGTACAGCAGAGGATCGACCTGACGGCGGCATTTGATCAAATCCAGAGGCGTCACAGCGGTGTGGGTGAGACCCTAGGACCAGCCAAGAAATTTAGTATTCATAGGCCACTATGCAGCGCTCATTAGCAGAATGGAACATCTACTTACGCAAGCAAGCATTCCTCCAACCGTGCAAGCAGCATAGTACTTAGGAGTCCATGGCTCGATCTTGCCGGTTTTAGCTTGAGCTTTCTGACTCGCAACTTCGAACTCTCGGCTCGCTTCCTTAGCGATAGCATCGGCCTTCTTTTCGATGTCCTCGACAACGTTCCAGGCGGGGAACGGCTGGCGTCTCTTCAAGCCCGCAGCTTCCGGCTGTCGGGTCTGCTGAGACTGGCCCAGAGGGCTTTGGGAGGCGAAGGCGCGAGCGATATCCCCTTCAGAAGGAAACATGATGGGCGCTTCTACCTATACTTGTTATAATCTGCGTTAAAGCGATTCTATACAGGTTGCGATAAAGTATGATGGCGATACTGCACCGCGATGGTTCCTTATCTATACAAGCGGGTCCACTTACAACACTATGTCGGTAGTATAGTCGGACGGATGACGATGTATAGAACGGAGGTCCACACCTAGTCTCGTATTCTTCGATTGAAGGAATCGACGCAGAATTCAGAAGACAGCCTGAATCCAACAAAAAAGGGATTTCCAGAGAGAGGAAGCGAAGGAACCTTCTGAGTGGTATCTGACAGTTGGTGATGGTGCCGCTGACGTCGCGTGATGGCACTAACCGCTTTCGGGGATCCCGTCAACTGGTTGATCTGAAGCGATGAAATTTAATCTGATTGGAGCAACCTCAACCTGTGCTTGATGCTTTTTGGGTGTAACTCAGTATCCGGCTCTCTAATTCTTTGAAACACTTGCTTTCCACAAAAATTTAGTGTTTAAACTACTGAGCGCAACCCTCAAAAGCTATCTCGACAACTTCAAGGGTCCCCAATTGACCGTCCTCTCGGAACCTTCCCTCCCGTGCCCCTCATCGAGTCACTGCGGGATAAGTTGATCACCAACACTACCACTACCACCAGCCTCACCAACACTACCCCAACACACCAACCCAGAGAACATGGCCTCCTATATGAACGCCAGCGAGGCGCTGACCCAGCAACAACTCGCACAAAATGCAGAGCAACCCATCGCCCAGTCCGCATGGGCAAACAAATACCGCGGGGTGAGTCCGCCCTCTTCTTACCAGTGATGTTCCGCAAGAGGTAACAGAAACAAAATAACTAATATACCACCGGCATACTAGGCGACAGTAGAGGACCTGGACCCCAACCCAGCCCTATCCGTTTCCCCCGACGACCTAATCTCCACCGCCCTGATGGCCGCTTACGAACGTGACTACACACACTTGACCGTGACCTCGTCGACGAAACGCTCTCTGGTCGGATACCTGAGCATCCCCCGACTAAAGGAGCTCCTCAAGGAAGGCACTGTCAAGGAAAACGACCCCGTCTCTGCCGCCATGCAGCGATTCAACCGCAAGAAGGGCACATACCAGGTCATCACGATGGAGACGCCGCTGGAAGAGCTGGAGCAGTTCTTCGAGAGTGAAACCGGTCCTAACGGAGAGAAGAGGGCTAAGCAGGATTTCGCTGTGGTTACGGATGTTTCGCGCAAGTTCGTACTGGGCGTTGCGACAAAGGCGGATTTGGCTGAGTTCGTGAAGCGGAGACCGAATTAAGTGGTTGCATGATTGCATATTATGGGTTTTCTGGGCTTCCTTTCTGTTCATACTTTGCATTATATAATGAAATGCTTGCTGCGGATCTGCTGTTGATGTCGTGCATCTCAAGGCGCAGATATGTAATCTGAATTGAACATATTACTCGCCAGGATGGCTCATCTTAATGTTGAAATCAGATAGGAGGCATCCACTCAGGCTGTGTGTTATCTGCCTTATTGTTGGCATAGTAGTATGCCTTGAGGAAACCGTGACCAATCACACAACCAGTAACCTGGAAGGTATCATAACACTCAGAGTATTTCCCTAAACCATTACATACATACTATCCCGACATAGCTTTCAAGACAAACGATACGACAAGTACATACCTAGCATGCGAAAACAGAGCGATCCATGAACGCCATCTCTGCAATACAGGGCCCCCAAAGCCAGGAATAAAATGAAAGGAAAACAACAAAGACAACAAGACAGAATGGCTGTACCATTTACTGTGCCTTTTTCTCCTTATACTTGGCGTCAGCTTCCCTCTCCGCCTGATCATCCTTCCACGCAACATAGATGTATGCGACGAGAACTACGTTAGCCATGATGGCGGCCACAATACCGCCGACTGTGGGGCTTGCTGTTCCAAAGTGTTATTCGACATGAAGATAGTTAGTAAGTGTGGTGTATTTGGGATGCTCACCTCCAAAGTCCACCGTAACAAAGTACATCCCGATAGGAATGACGACCATGGCGAAGGAAAATCCGAGAAGTTTCATGATCACATTTCTGAAGGTGATGTGTTAGTTAGAATTAGGAAAGGGGGGGTATGTGCGTAATGTTTATTGATAAGGTGTATGCGTTCGTTGGGCTGAACCGGTAGTTCAGGATAGCCGCCATGTGGCCTAGTGTTCGTTGGTGAGACGAATGAGATGCACCTACGTGGGAACGGCAGGGGTCACATCTGAGTCAGAGGGCTTTGGAGAGCCCGAAGATGCGACCACATCCTTGGGAGAAGGAGACTTCTCTGCGGAGCGACGAGTGGCCATGTTGATGATGGTAGTTGGTTGTGGTGTTGACAGGTTTGATGTTGGGTGTTGATTTTCCGGGGACTAATGCGTGAAAGCCGGAGGATGATCGACAAAAAGGGATCAGGATATAATTGGTGATGACAAGTACAGCTTCTCCTATCCTATTGAAAGAGTATATAGTATTCTCTCGAGTACACTGTTCGTCTGGATGGGATTTGAAATAAGTAGAGACATGGATTGTTTTATACAGCGGATGATTTCATTCTGGAGTTCAAGCCATGCCGGCCTCTGATTGGTCCATTTATAAGAGGGGACATCTGGCTGCGTTTTTAGGGACAAAAGAAAAGGCAAAGACGGTGGAAAGAGGATCGCCTTAGTGAAGAGACCAGCCTTGTACCGGTGAATCATATAAAGAGGGAGCTCTGTTCCCCCGATCAAGAGGGGGTTGGCGTCCAACTGCCATCCTCGGCTTTAATTGAAGCGCCAGACCACGTGACCCCAGCGCGTCCCGGGCGC